TTATGATAATTTTTTTTTCTGGCAGTGTTATGCACTCTTTTCCATATAAAAAAAAATACTTTATATGGAAGAAAATGCGTGGATACCGTCAGCAAAAAAAAAATTATTAAAGTCAACGCCATTTTTTAGCTACTTCAAACTGACACTTTATTTACTAGAATTTAATAAGCTATAAAACTACATACCAAAAATTATTCTAGAAATTAAAATGCTTGGAATTGGGATAAAAAGGTTGTGGAATTTTTATAATTCTTGCACAAAGTCTGAAATTTGGATTTATATGGTATTTGTTAGATGAAAATTAAACAAACAAATAGTCAAACCTGTTCAAAATGTTGAGGTGCTATCGTTTTGTCGCGGGCCGTACCTTCGTATGTACATACGCAAAGCTTATTTTTAATGTATGTATGTATATGCATGTATAGGGTGACCCATCTAGACCTTTCTTTTATTCGCTTTTTTCAAAGATCACGCGTGACTATTGTCATACTTTCATCTTATTTTTATTCAGAATTCATCATGAAAAGGCACACCCAACAACGCCTCAGAATTATTCAGCTGTATTAGGGAAATCAGCATCCTGTATGGTGTTCATCATCGACCTTCCGATACCTTTATTGCTAATACCGTGTGATCGTGTGATATCACACCTTTTGATTATTTTCTTTTGGGTGATGAAATCAGTTTTCATCGATAAGCCAGCTAAGATTCAAAACTGGAAGCCAACAGTACTCGTGTTATTCGCGAGATACCGAATGGACCGCACCGGCTCCAGCATAGTCGCGCCCAACATTTTGATGACATTATTTTTAATAAGTAAATATCAGAAATTATTCTTTCGGATAATAATAAAGATTCCCACATCCACTTCTGTTTTAAGTGTTTTATTTAAAATAAAAAAAAGGTCTAGATGGATCACCCTATATATAGCTTCACATTAAAACATTATCTGGGTTATAATATTATGTTTTAAATGGTCAATTTAAAAAAAATTATCAAAATCTCTATTCTCTATTATCTTATCAAAAAGCTGTTGGAAGTCAGTTACGACAAAAAAGCAAACACGTCAGATTGGCGATAACAGCGTTTCAGCTAAGAGTTTACCACCTAAAGTTAAAAATCCTCGCTATTAAATAATGCGAGTGCAAAAAGGGAAAACGAATCGTCCACAATCGTAGAACATAAAAACGAAAAATATTCCACTATCGTAGAACATAAAAACCAAAAATATTAATTGACTCAATCTTTCGCTGGTCGGGTTTATATCGACATCGTTGCGGTAACTCTCTTTAAAATTATTGATCCATTTTAGATAGGTTTGTGAAGTTCAGAGTGTGAACCAACTATAGTATCCAATAATATTTTGCCATTGAAACTGAAAGAAACAGAGCGATTTGTAAAGCAACTACTTGCGGCCGCCGACGCTGAGCGATCATGGTTATATGTTGTTGATGTTGAAATAGCATACAAATTTTTCAAACAGTGGTCCTTCAGATCAGCTATAGATCCGAATGTCATGGGAACGTTAATACCACCCCTCGGGAGGCGTTCGACTACTGGTTCTAACAACACCCCACAAAAACCGAGTTTCTATTAGCAATCGCATCTCGGTATTACTTTACGAAAAGCTTCTAAAAAACAACATTTACCGTTCGTAGGCGGAATAAAACTTCTCGATGACAGTGCCGAAAGATGAGATAGGTGGCGCAGGAGTCGAGATATTTGAAACCCCGTATTTATAGTCCGATTTGGTTCATATTACGGAAGTTGCGAATGTCACATTCGCGAATGTGAATTTTCGAAATGCGAATGTTAGGAATAACATTAAAAAAGCTATAATGAATTTAAGTCATCGTTTTTATTACTAAAATTTTTTGTAAATTATTAGAACATTAGAGGCTCGTATATAAGGCCGGCTGCACTAAACAATTGCTCATTTGGAACGCTGGCGGATGGAGCGCTCAAATATTTGCGGGCCAGATCTGCAAATTTGTCGTATTTTAGTTTAGTTTTCCACCAATCGACAGGATTTTCACGGAGATAAGCTCGTTTTCCTTTAAGATAAGCCTATAATTGACCTTTAATTTCACATGTTTTAATGTCTCCGGATTCGACATCCGAGCCTTCGCTTTCGCTGGAGGAATATAAAATTATTTCTAGACTTTTAGCAGTACTTGTTGTTGGCCCATCAAATTGCTTGATATACTACTTAACCGTTTAGCACCTGAAGCTAAAAGCCGGTTATTGTCGGCCCCCTGGTTAGACAGACTTAGAGCCATTTCAACAATATTAGAGTGGACTATCTGCCCATGTACACATTCGCATTCGCAAAACATTGGTATCATTTGATGCGAATGCGAAGGTCGAATGCAAATGTGTAAAATGATGCGAATCATTCGCATAACGTATACGAATACAAATCTTCGCAACATCCCTGGTTCATATTTAGAACGTATATTAACTACATGAAAAGGAATAACTAAAAAAGTTTACTCATACGTAGCGCACGAGTCGATATATTTGATAAACCAGTATTTATGGTCCGATTTCTTTCAAATTTAGAAATCTTGCTTTAAAAATATTTGTTTTAACTATTATTTTATTTCTTTAGAAAGTTTCCGCTGCACTGATATAATCTATATTTACTGTAGGTAGAGCTGAGTCGTAATGACACCTTTAGGAATTAAATTCCCCATTTCATTACCTGGAATTGCAAGAGTACTTTAGTATTTACAATTGCTCAAGCGAATTGTAAAAGTAATTGAGAAACTGAAAGTTCATTCACCAAAGTAATGTGGAATTTTTTTGTAATCAAATATTAAAATCGAAACCACACATTGGATATCTTCTATTTATATCTATGTATATGTATAGTATATATAAAAATGTTGTGTTCGTTTGTACGAATGTTTGTTTAAATAATTTTTTTAATTGTTCGGTATAATACCAGGATTTATGGCACGTTTTTTTTTTAATTTTAAACTCAATTAAATTGATAAAATTAAATAAATATAGTAAATTGGGTATTAGTTTAGGTCAAGTGATAGTGCAATAATTTTTACCTCCCTTTTATTAGCTCGGGATGTAACTATGTAAATACCTGATGACAGTACGAATGGAAATTATAATAGCGAGGTTTAAGTTTTTTAAACTATAATTTTTTTGTATGAAATAAGAGCAGGAAATAATGTTACTCATACGCCATATCGTACAAGACCGTATTCACACATGGCGTATGAGTAACATTTTCTATCCCGGTAGATAATTTCAGGAGTTACAAGCCCTTCCGGAAGGCATACCTGAGAGTCAAGATGCCTTCCACTCAACATTCGTTTCTCCTTTCTTTTTTGTATGGAGTGGCACAAATTGAAGAGCTTCTTCGTGCGCTTCCAATGGAAGGCCTCACAGCGCGGCTTTTATAGGACGTACTTCAGTCCTTTTGCAGTTCTTTTAAAGTTATTCTTTAATTTATAAAAGCAGGATATCAGTAAGAGTACTTCAAAGGCACCAGAAGGCACGCCAGTTTGGGTAGTATTTGGGGTACCATAATATACACAATTAAGTCAGTGCATTTTTATAGATACGCAGGGATTAGTCCAAGAGAGCAGCAGTGCCCGAAGCAGCAACAGTCCGGACTGTTCTTCACCGAAGGGCGAGCATGAAAGTATGCGGGCGGGTCTCATCTGCCGCGAAGCACATTCGCGGTAGGATCTGGAAAATTTATCGCTTACCCTATAAACTCGTTATTCAGCCTTTTTAAAGTCCAATTAGTAATATTACTTGCGTATGTATAAGTTATTTATTCAAGGCAGTTAGCAATTCAAGAGTAAACTTTTTTTCACAAAAATTTCGGTACTTTTTAAATAACTTTGAGGAATTGAAGAAAATTACATTACTAGCACGTAATTTATTTGAATTAAAAAACGTAACTCCTTGTAATGGATAAAAAAAAAGAATTATATTTGAAATTACTTCTAAGGAATTGAGAAAGTAATCAATACCTTTGCTGTGAACTGAAGGAATTGAATCCTAATTAAAATTACTGAGGAATGTTATTGGAATGTAATTGCATTTACCCAGCTCTGACCGTACCCGCTACAACAACAATGGAAGCCAGTTGTGTTTCTTGCTTAAAAATTACGTGTGGGTTAAAAGTTCCCTACGATAAAATTTAAGTTAACTGAGTTAATCTTTTGAATCCGTTCATTGGAATTCTTAGATTGATAGCTAAAATCTCTTGATTAAAATAACAGAATAGGAATTTGAAAAAAATAAATAAAAATTGATGAAAAAGACTCCTTGGTTAAACCTTATTTTACGTGATCTTACAGAAAGCTGTTCATGTACAAGGTTTATTAAAGCAGATTTTTGGAATACTGAAGTACAGAGAACAGGCTTAATAATTGGCGCCGGCCAAGGTATTGTTTAAGAACCCTCCCAACAAGTTGCATACAGAAGCAGTTGTCTTCGACAGTAGATGCTAATCCAAACTCTACTATGTATGTACATACATATAAGATTCCTCAACTACGTATTTACCTATATCTGCTTCCCTACTACATATCTGTGACACCTGCCACTAGCTCTAGCACTAACCAACCATATAAACACGTTCATTATTTCCATTTACACATTCCTACATACATATGTATGTATGTATATACGAAGTATGTAAAAATTCGAGCACGCATTCATTACTAACAATAAATAGACATAACCATCTATGTTCTGGCATGGCATGCCAAAATCGAGCGATTAATCGTAATAAAAAATACGCATTCGCATAGGGAAAAACAACAATAAAGCAGCCAACAAAGAGGAAAGAATTACATCACGACGCTAAAATTTTAGGTTAGGTACGACGTTGCTAACAGCTGAGCAGGCAGCCAGCTATAGACCCCGGGGCTGCTACAAAACCAAAGAAAATCGATTGAGTCTGCAGTGACCAAGTTTTCCATTTAGAAATTTAATAATTGAGATGTACTTGGCAAAAAACTTACTTTAACCGAATCCAATGGATACATAACACAATGTTCCAGCACGCCCGCAAGTGCACCGGCCGTCATGTTGATGCTCACGCTGGTCGTTGGCAATGATTCGTAGTCGTCCACGTTCATGGTGCTTGTTGTATAAAATCACAAGAAACGCAATATATAAACTACACGCCAATCTATAGTCAAATTTTAACGATAGTTTGCTTCTAATGTTGCTATTTAATCGCCTGCGATGCAGAATTTTGGCTGTAAACAAACTGCTTTTACAACGAATAAAGGCAAAACTTGCCTCCGCTGAATAGTGGTTATGCAGATCCCAAACGTTGTCTTCCGATTTCTGCGCGTCACTAAAACTTCGCAATGTGTTTTTCACTCTTTACCGACCGAAAGCCGATGCTGTCGCCTTGCCTTGTCCGCTCTTCCAATCATCAACGAGGTGCAATTGTCACTTGCTTTGACTGTTGCTTGCTTCCCGATTTTCTCTCGGCGGGAGCTATTGTTTCTTTTGCTTTGGCGGTTAGTTTCCTCCACGTTTTCCACTTTCCCACTTTCCACGATATCGGTTGCTTACTTTTCTGCAATTGATAACAGCTACATAAATTAAAATAAGAACAGTGTACCAATTTTGCCGCTACATAATTATATTTTCGCAGCCATTTAGAGTTTGAACAAGTTAACTAATATGTCTTTACCTGCTCGTATGACCTGAATTCCAAATACTTTGCAACTAGTAGTCAAAGCTTCGTGACCAAATCCAAAATAGTCTATGCCAAAAACAATGTACCAAGCTGGTTTGCGCACCACCGTTCCTTTGCTTACAATTTTTCAATGATTAAATAAATTCTTCATGCAATTTGATTATAAACATATATGAAAACCGCACTGGTTCGATGCCCTATCAAACGCACGCCCAATTTAATTTTACACTTGGAAAGGCGATATAACTCGCTTTTCCTTAATCTTTTAAATTTCTTTTCACGTGAATTTTCTGTTTTTTTTTTTATTGTCAAAGCGTCCGAATTTCAGGTGATGCCACTTTTTAGCTGATGTTTCGCACCTAGATGGCGCCAACTTTTTTCTAGCTGCGTTCCTCACTGTTCTGTTGGATAAACCTTTGAAACTGTCAAAAACCAAAAAGTACCGGAGCGCTTTTAAGATGAAAACTGGTAAAACTGTCATATACAGTTCAGGCTAGGAATGTTCGATATTTAAGAAAGTATCGATATCACGAATCGATTTAATTCATTGCATGTTAAATCGATATGGCGATATATCGGGCTGAACCATATCGATATCGGAAAAATCGATGTTGAAAATCCTACTTCCAATTGAATAGAATATTAGACCTGCCTATCAACTCACCTAATTGTGTTATTTGCGTCTTGTATATTTACTGAGGACTAAAACGGCATGCCGGTCGACTCAAGCGGTTTTTCAAACTTAAAAGCTAAATAAATCACACAAGCTGCTGATTAAACCTAATTTAATATTTTCCCATACACTTTTTTGTAGATCAAAAATAAATTTCAACTTAAATATCGGTATTGCGGGTAAAGTATCGATGTCTTCGATATATCGACCTTGGAATATCGATTCAAAAAATCGCTTATCGTGCCATGAAATATCGATATTCAGAATAATCGATACGATATCGAACATTCCTACTTCAGGCCCCATTTTTTGATTACATATCTGTTTTTCATCAGTTGGCGATTTACTAAATTATACGCAAATACACAAGCAAATTAATAGAAGGATAGGATAGGAAGGTCATTTAATGTACGAAACCGCGTATCAAAAAAATGCGAAACCGCGTGCGTGAGGTTTCATAAATTATTTTCTAGAGAGTAAAAATACTCCAATTTCAAAATGGTTATCTTTTTTATAAAGCAATCGCATTTCTGGCTAATATATTTCAGGACGAATGGTTAAGGATTTGGTTGCAAATGTCTATTACGAGGTTTTGCAGAATGACCATGCGCGGTTTTGTACTTTAAACGACGATAAGTAGCTTTTAGACGTAGCAAGTACAAGTCCTTTTTAAAAGTCTGTTACACCTTGCTTGTAAAGTGACTTTTGAAAGCAGTTTTTATTTCCGGAAATCAAACTTTTTCGACACTACTTTTTATTGTTTACATAGTGAATGCAGAAAATTCCACTTTCACCTATGTTACCATACATTTTTGTGCTCATAACAATATTACTGAGGGCCCTGTGCCAATTGGTAACTTTTTTCTCCGTGCTGATTTGCTATGATGTACAAATAAATTGAATTTTGCTGTGCCAAATGCAAAGTAAAATTTTGACAGTTGAAAAACCAAACAAACGCCCGTGCGAAAGCTCTATTTTTGTGTGTAGCTAAAATTGTTAAATTTTATATTTATTATATGACTTGCAAGTAATGTTCGCTTTTTTGTGCTTTTTCAGCTTTCAATGGACGTTCGTATTCACCACGAAAAATGCCAAATTTTTACTTTGATCGGTCAAAATTTCCTCTTTTCCATCAATTGACACAGGCCCTGACCTGAAAAATTTGTTAAAAATGCTAAAATCTAATCCTAATATATTTGAATTGTTCATATCAGGAGAATACATTAATTACAAGTATCTATTTCATTAAATGTGATGCAACATTTTCAAAATCTTGGACAAATTCGGCAAAAATCGCGTCACACGGCAACACTCGATTAGTATGACAGCACTTGCAGCAAAAATGAAAATTGCTAGTGCAGTACGAGCAAGTTGAATTTATTTCTCGAAACCGATTTGCGTAATTTCAGTTGCAATTACACCTTGCAATTTGTATTTTCGAAAGTGATTTCTGCAAATCTGCAAAAAGGACTTTCTGGCTGTTTACGGGAAATAGACTTTCGATTTCGCATTCTGACAGCAAAATGCGTAGAAAAAGCACTTGCATTGCCACGTTTAACGGTAGCTGGGAGCAACTGGGTGTGGCGTCACAATATTGGTTACTAACAGGTCTAATCTGCGCTGGTAACAATTTTTTTACCAGTAAATACAAAAGTAGATACGACTTTTAGGTACAACTTTTCGGCAAATAGGTACAAAATGAAAATGGAATATTCATCACTAGGGCGAAAAAAATATTCTGTTATCCTGAGTTTCTCCTGAAAAAAAAATTCACCCGAAAATTTGTCATCCGCCCATAGTAAAACCATGGAAACCAAAGGCGAAAAGTGAACCGGTTCGTGGAAAATGAAACTCATGATAAGGCTGATTGTTACGTCAGCGAAAGGGTGGATGCTGTCAAAGAGCTTATTAGCAGTCCGCGGAAGGCGCCACCTTTGTTTCGCTGCACTTCCACTTAACTTCAAATTTACTCCATTTTTTCACTCATGTTCTACCCCTCTTAAGCCCGTTTCTTTTTACATTTAACCAACGGATTTCAGTAAAAAATTAAAAGTGTAGGAAAATCTCACCACTAAAAGGAAATTCACTCACAAAAATGAAGCAATACAGTAATTTCGTTATTTTTTTTATATAAGGACGTAGAACTTGGAGAATGTAGAAGCACTTTTCTCTTCTGTGCCAATTGGAAATGCCAAGTGAGTCCAAGCCCTTCTACACTTGGTCTCTCCATCGCAGTGGGGGCCTCCCTCTGCCTCTGCTACCCCCAGCTGACCACGTCCATGTCCTTGTGAAGCTCATACAGCTCATCATCGCCAACGGGCAAGGCCCGTAAATCTTCCACAAAATCTTTCTCTCCAGTACTGCAAGAGCCACCTCATTGGATGTTGTCATTGTTCATGCTTCTGCTGGAGAGAGGACTTAAATTCTGAATTGCACTTGTTGGCAAGGGTGATTCTCCATTGGAATTCGGTGGTGAATTTACTATCGGTGTTAAGCTGGTTCCCCACTAAACGAAATTCTCTACTTTCTCGAAATTATGTATAACTGCCAACAGTAACGTGAATATTTGTTTGTTGACAGGCGATACTTCGGCTTGTCCTCGCTAATTACCAGACCCAATCGCCTTGCTCCCTTATCCAAATTGGAAATTCGCGGTTCTTGCTACCGATGATGTCAATGTCATCGGCGTACGCCAGTAATTGCAATCTCTTGTAGAAAATTGTTTCTGAGCGATTCAGCTCTGCAGCTCTTATTATCTTCTCCAACATCAGATTAAAGAAATCACATGAAACAGAGTCACGCTGTCTGAAGCCCCGTTTGGTAGCAAACGGCTCGGAGAGGGGTTTCCCAATTCTGGAGTTGGTGGTATTTTTCAATGTCATTTTACAAAGCCGTATCAATTTCGCGCTGATGTAAAATTCCGACATGGCGGCGTAAAGGCAATTCCTTTTAGTGCTGTGAGAAGTGGCTGTGAAGTCGCCAAGTAGGTGGTGAGTGTCGATACTTCTCTCGCGGGTCTTTTCTAAGATTTGGCGTTTTCTAAGATTTGGCGTATGGTGGATTTGCAGCGTCTAAAGCCACACTGATAAGGCCCAATCAGTTTGTTGGCGGTGAGCTTCGGTCTTTCACACAATACGCTCGATAAGACTTTATAATCTATGTTTAGTAGACTGATCCGGCTGTAGATGGCGCGAATGGCGGGGTCGACTTTCTTGTGTCGGGAATGCGTTGTTCTGACCATGTTCTGCATAAGCGTTGATGCATGCACCTTATCAGCTCCTCGCCGCGGTACTTGAATAGCTCAGCTGGTTCGACTTGGTTTCTGGTTTTTCGAACTGGAAACAGCTACGTAGCTTGATGGATTTTTTTATGCTTGAACCTAGTACTGCATACTACGATGTTTGGGTACCAGCGAAGTCGATCAGTCTTAGTCCATTATCGGACGTTTCGTCGTGGAGGCTGGATTTTCTGATGGTGCACCATGGTGGTTCCAAAGACCTCTTCCCTGACCACCCTGACATTGAAGTCGCCAAGCACAATTTTGATATCATGGCGGAGGTAGCGCCCATGGAAGCTATCCTTGGACACTTTGTCTTTTTTCTTTGGTCGGAGCATGGGCACATTTGATCGAGGTGTTGAAAAACCCCGCTCACTGAGGTATTTTCAGAGATATGGCGTTTTCGAATTGGCTACCGAGATAGGTCGATCTTTCACTTAGCCATCGATATACACTGTCATTCGGGTATCCCAGAAATCGCTCAATAAAGTTATGAGAGTGTTACATGACATTTGTTACACTTTAAAAAAAAAAATCTCGCATTTGATTTACTAGTGCGGAATATTTAAGGGAAAAGTGATAATAAGATAAATTTGAAAATATTTATTTTAATTTTACCCTTATACGGCGATTTTAAAGGAAACTTTTAGTTGAAAGCAACAATCGCCTGGCCTTTCAACTGATCGCTTCCAATGAAATTAGCGTCTAGCCAACTTTTGATTCAACTAAGCGCCTCTAAAACTGCCATGAAAATCGCTTCATGTGAACACCGTTTTAGTTAAGTCTACGCACTAATTTTGATGATTGAATTTGTGACCTGGATATACATATATTGACAGATGGTTTACGGGGACGTGAGTTTACGATGTTTACAGGTTTTATGAGAAATGTAGGTATTGAACTTCATACAAACGGCTGAAACAATGGAGTTCTACTCTAATGCCAAATTTCAACTAGGCATTAAAATTTCAAAAAATGTATGCCATTTAAAAAATTGTCATTTAATGCCTAGTGGAGATTCCATATAAGTATCTTGAATAAAATAATTTAAAAATCGTAAAAATTTTGAATTTATAAAGTGCATAGAATTGGGCTGTTAGTTAAAAAGGCGTTCAGAAGTGAAATAACATTAATTCAAAAATAGTCTTTATTTTTTTATGTAACAACATATTTATGTACGTTTTACAAGACTTTATGTTTTTTATATACTTAAATAAATTCCTTTAAAATACATTAAAAAAGGGAGGTAAGAACTTTATATGGTGTTGGAAGTAAATAATGATTAAGTAAGAATGGTACATTAAATGTAATTTGCTAAATGAGGTATTTCTTTACA